TCATAATCTTGGTCATGATCAGGGTGCACCTGACCACGATTATGCGTTGGATACATGTAAAATGACAGCAATGACATATGTCGAAAAAACCATTCGTGCGAATGAGGTAAGTAGCCATCCCTCCACTTTCTCTTTCTCTATCTTATATACGTCCCTTAACACGACCCCACGTTCAAACACATACATCCCATCGATAGAACGAGCAATATAGGGATGAATCTTTCGTTGAAACGGGGAAATATACATGACCACTTTTTGGTTTGTTCATTCTATCGTTCCTGCGTGGCGGTGCGCGGGTTGGGGAACTAGCTGTTTGGCCAAGGTCGGAGACTTATCGTCTCTCTTTCTCTTCCACACTCTCGTAGTGCAACAGGTACGTAGTAACCCGATCTTGTATCGCTCAACCTTCCCTTCTCTCCTCTCTCTTGCTTCTCCTCTCTCTCACACACACACACACACACATTCCATCGATAGGATGGGCAAAAACGGAATGAATCCTCCGCTGAAACGTGAAAATATACACCGCCACTTTTTGATTTGTTCATTCTGTCGATCCAAGTACCGCGTGGCGTGCGGCGAGGTACGGGTTTGGAGACTTAGCCTCCCCCCCTCTCTCATATCTTTTCCCTCTCCTTTCCTTATCCTCTCCATTCTCCTCCTTCATCTCCTTCCCTCACACATTCTGTACGCACTCTCCTGCCGTTGTGCTCGTCTTTCCCCTTTCGTGTGTAAGTACTTCCTCCAAGTGTGATCGCCATTTCCCACAGACTACCTTTCCGAAATGATACAGTCAATAAGTGTAGGGGGGGGGGGTGAGTCGTGTTCGGGCTGATCGCCCGACTGCTGTGATCACGACTAGCAGCGTATAGGTAAGTGTTTCCCAATCTCTCTCTCTCTTTCACATATAGACACTCGACCTCGACTGGCCTATCAACCTCGACTTCGAACGAATCCATCCTCAATAGCAGGCCGGATTCGTTCGAGCACAGTCCAGAATCTAGTTTATAAAAACGGAAAGAAAAAAAATAAAAGAAAATAAAGGAAAGTAGAAAAATAAAAAGAAAGAAAAAGAAAACTTCGAAAACTAAATCTAACTTCCGACTTCCCCGTTGGGACAACTGTCGGATTCTGCCTAGGTCTAACTAACCTCCTTACACAGAGGTCACGGGTTTGAATCCCACTCATCCGTGAGCGGGTAAAAAAAGGTAGACCCCGCCCCCTATAGCTAGCAAAAGGAGCTAGCCCGGAGGCAGGTCGGACTCGATCCCAGGATCCTCTGCGTATCAGTCTGGGCCTATATTTATTGGGCTAACTCCTAGTTCGGTTCTACTAGGAGCGAAATTACCCTAAGTAGAGTACAAGGATCAGTCTAATCAATCCATAAGGCCAGCGGCCTTATCGTAAGGGAAATTCAGGCCACTGTAGGCCATCACAGCCTGTTACAGCAGGCTAGGCTTCTTCTTCTAGTCGCCCCGGCCACATGGTCGAGGCCTTTACTAATTTCTACCCATATTCTATCCTGCGGGGAGTGGTTTCCCGCCCCGCTTTTTTCGAATTACTCGACGTCTGCGGACGTGGGCTGAAATGGTCATACTTCCCCAGTCGTCAATTGAATGAGGAAAACCGTCGCTGCGTCCCGCGCGACGCTTTTCTATTTTGACTAACCTTCCGACCTTGTGGTCGGAGGTTTTATTTACTAACCACTTTGCAGTCTCCGCGCGCGTCGGAATGGCGTGCGCAGTTATTCTAATTTTTAATCCACTAACTCTCGTTGGCTCTGCATGCGCTGCGGTAATGCAGACAAGCATTCGAAATTCTTAACCCTCGACTCTTGTCCGTGCGTGCCGTGTTTTGGCCCTGGCGGTTACTAAACTTTTGACCTTAACGGTCGAGGGGTTTCACCCCAGTTTCTGTTTTTAGCCGACCCCATTCTGACAATTGGTGTCGACATTGTGTCGACTGTAAAATTATGAGCGGATACCCTTGTAAGGGTATCAGCTCCGACAGTCTTCCCAGACCCCATTAAGCGACGTCCCCGTCGCTGGAGAATCTAAATGCAAACAAAGGCCTTATGACGCGACAAGTTGTCAAAATTCGATTTCCCGGGACGAAGTTGTGGCTTGAAGACCCTCACTATCTCCCTTGGCGCGTCCATACTGCCAGGATTTCAACCTGGGTCTCGCGCATACCAACAATTGTAATACCAAAGAAATGTTATTCCATATGACTCAAAGTGGGGATACTGGATCTGTACTACAGTTACAGAGGTCACCAAGGAAGATAATGATAGCCTCTCCCCTCAACTTTAGACTTTATTGCCAGAATCTCATTGGGTGTCCGAGGAGTTAGGAATCATAAATGAATCCTACCTTTAGGACGAGGGTCTCAACCTTAGTCAATTTTTACCGTCTTACCCGAAGTCTAATGCGAGGGGATCGGCAACCTTAGTCTCAACCCACCACAGTCGGTTGATCAGGCCTGATCTGTGGCCCACCATGTTTGTTAATCTAATGGTGGTACCTGTATTGGTTACGCAACACAGGATGATTACCTTCTATCAACTATCTACACCCGACTCTCGATCCCCCCGATATCTACCTGAACTTGATACTATCATTAGGAAATCCTTCCCCTCAAGTTTAGTCCCAGGCCGTAATTGGAAGGCCCGCTGCCTGGTTATACTTGGTCAGCAGCCGACGCAGGGAGTTACGTCCCAACGATGCCAATTTTCCACCATAGGCTTGGTAATTTTAAGTCCCTCAGACTGACCTCCATAAGTGGATGAACGATGATTATTTCAAAAATACACATATGAAATTCAAATTTAACCAGATAAAATTTATCTCCCCTCGTCAGTTGTCCTTGAATGGGTGAACAAACTCATTGAATATATATATATGAAAGAAGCAATATCAATAAGAATGATTCAACATGATTGAAAAACTTGTCTCTGATCGAGGGGCATCGTCAGAGCCACTTAGGGGCTGTACCTACCAGACCTCGATCACAGGCTGGATAGACACACGTCTTGGGGATCTTTTTCTAATAGAAAGTCAACCAAAATATCCATAAAGAAAGTATAAAGTATGCGTTTGACCCCTTGTCTTGTCAGAAGGCAGAAAAAACATCCATTTCATTCATAACATATATTTCCCTGATTCACAGGGTTTGTCAGATGCAAAATAACTTTGACGTTTTCGTACCCTTTATAGCGTCTGCTTCAAAAATAACCATAAATGACTCATCATAGATGCAAACCAACTTTTGCAAAACTCATTTCACCTTGTCACTCTTGAACACTTAGGCGTGTTTTTTAGCATCCTAGTTCAAGATCCGACATCATAGACAACACTCATATCCAAAATACACATTTTACCAATCAAAACTCAAACACTGGACCAACTCAATTGTGAAAGTGCAAAGTGTTCAAGTTCCCCACAGGTATACCTCGCAAATAACTTAGGATAGAGAAGCTCAACTGAATACAAAAGAATATGTCAAAAATTGATCCAGACTGATGCACGGATCCTCAAAATGGAATATACGTTTGATCTTCCCTCAACTACTAGAGTACATAATGTCGAGTCAGAATAATATACATGATCTCCTAATCCTAGCAATTGTAAAAGACACATGTTCTATAATAAAACTGACGAGAACACTCCATTAGATATCAAGCTTACCATATTGCCTTCTTCACCCTCAACCCCTAATATACAATGCTTGTTTGAAAGGACTTCAAAACTGTCTTATTCTAATATTCTAAGGTGAGTCATAACTGCTCATACAACTTGACCATGAACCCTTTCTTGAATTTTTTAATCAGATTTTCCTTCTTATCGATGAGCCTGTTGTTCTCATCGAGGTCAACTAACCCTTTTGACCTATCAATCTTAAATCCAGAACAATCATCCCTCCTGTGGATTTCCTTCATACAGTACCAACATAACTTCTTCTCTTCTTCCTTCGTCCTCTTTGCAGATGATGGGATTCCCGGTGATGTTGCCCCAATCAATGTCTCCAGGTAGGATCTCTTCCTATCCTGTCCCACTCTGCCATCGATTAGGGATGTTTCCCCAGCATCCTTTTCAGACAAGGTAACAACTCCTACCTCTAATCGCTTGTCATGTCTGTCAATCTCAAGTCTCTTCTCTACTTTCTCTATTCTCAGGTCTTTCCTCATGTCCTCATTCTTCTCAACATCCTCCACTCCAACCTTCGTCTGAATATCTTCTGTTGGTTTTTCCAAGGCTTCGTCCACCTTCTCCCCTTTCTCATTTTCCAGTTTCTTTTCGCTTTCTTCAATTGTTTTTCCCTGTTCACTGATCTTTGTCCCCAATTTTCCAATTTTTTTTTTCAACTTTTATTTCTCCATCCTTTTTGTCTCCGCCTCTTTATTCTTATTTTCAAGAGCAATGCTTAGTGCCTCCACCTTCAATTCCATCTTTCCTCGTTCAATCCTTGCCTTTTCCATTTCTGTTTTCAAACTTTCCATATCTTTTTCCACCTTTGCCCACTGCAGGTCCCTTTTGTCTTTTCTTGCCCTCAACCTCTGAATTTCCTTCAGGATTTCGGGGACATGGTTTGCTACTCCCTGTGTGAATAATTCTGTTTTCTCCTTCATCCTGTCCTGAAGTTCATGAATGAGAACTTCTAATTCCTTTCTCTTTTCTTCCACCACTTTTCTCAACCTGCTGTCTACTTCTGCTTCCCCCTCAAGGATCCATTCACAATCGTCCCTGAGTAGCTTATTCAACCGGATCAATCTGTCCACATCAGTTGCTAGCTTGGAGCTGATTACGGTTTCAGAGATTATCTTCCTTTCCAACTTCAACCTCCAGTGTGCGTCTGAAGGCAACTCATTTTCTTTTAACGAGGTCACAACCCAATTCCTCCATTCCCAGTTTTCTTTTTCTTTTCTCTGCCTCTTTTCCTCTGTCCATCTCCTTGAGCCTCGTTCCTTTGGAGGTTCATTGGAAGTAGGCTCTTCTGCAGTTCCAGAAGGTTCTGCCATTTCATTCTCCTCATTGTCCTTCTCCTTTCTCTTCACCTTCTCGTCTCCCTTTTTCACCTYTCCTGCCTTGCCATCGCCTTTCACTTCCTTACCATCATGCTCTTCCATTTGTGTCTTGTCTTCTTTTATTGAGTCATCTCCACCTTGAGCTTTGTCCTCATCATTCCCCTACAGAGGAGCTGCGATATTTCCCCTATCTTCCTTCTGAGCTCTCCTTTCTATCCTCTCACCCTTCTTGTCAATCCACAATCCCTGCTCCTGAAGTAACAGTTTCTTCTTCTGTTTCTGTACCTCCAAGGAATAGGTCTTTCTCATCTTGACAAGGAAGCTCCCCTTGGTGTCCGACTCCTCCTTGATCCTCTTCACCGCCTCATACTCCCTTGGTGCTATCCTCCTCATCACTTGCTCCATTATCTTTCGTTCACCCCACCTCCTTTTCTCTGAACAAAGGTTGATGCTGTCCTCAAAATCTTCCAAGTTTGTGCCATCGAAAATGATGTCATCTTCGATCTCATCCCTTGTCAAATCCACATATTTCGCCCACATACCAGCCTTGAAATCCAACCACCCCAGACATTCCAAGGCAATCTCATCTATCACTTCATTGCACTCCCCCAGTCCTGCCACCTGTTCGAGCATGGTCCGAGTACTCCACTCTCTTCTGAAGGCATGCTCCTCGAATTCCCTCAGGAAGATCCCCAGATTGTCCCCTTCCTTGTAGACAGACATTCCTTTGAAGTCCTTCGTTACCAGCTGCATCTTTTTTCGCCCTTCTCTTCCAGGAATTATCCTGGAAGGCATCCCTCCCTTCTGTGCCATGGCCGCCTGTTTCTTGGGTCACGCCTGCACACAGAAAAAAGAAAGGGAGTGACAGATAAGGGAAAATGTCAGCAGTTGGCTAACAATAGAATATTCGAAAAGGAAATGCCACAACAAGTTTCCACAAGATCATCAGGTTTTTTCTTCAACTTCAATCAACTCAGCCTTGAACCTGAAATTAAATCCTTTCTTAGTGTTCCATTCATCTCGTCCAGTTCATAAGCTCAATAATTCCCTCTGCGTCTGACTCTGAAAGGTCCCAACCATCTCTTGTCCAACTTCCTTGACCATTGCTTTTCGAGCGAGGAGTCGTACAGTAGTACTATATCTCCGATCTCCAATGGTTCCTCCCTTACGTGCGGAGATCTATCCCACCTTTCTTTGTCCTTGCCACRACTGTCAGCCACTTTCTCCACTGCTTCCTGTATTCTCTCTTCAGTGATGCTGACCTGCCTGGCCCTGATGTCAAGCAACTCTTTCAAGGGCATATCATTTTCGAGATCCTGCCTTCGCCACGTCTTCAGAAAACTTTCTATCGGATATGTGGCATGCCTCCCGTACCACAAAGTTGCATGGGCATATCTTGTGGTTCTCTTGACTGTGATGTTCTCGACGAAGAACACGGTTCTCAGGAACTTTGGCCGTAGGTTGGGCTTTCCGGCTGTTCATTTTGCCAGCAAGTTGGTAATCGTGCTATGTTCCCTTTCAACCGGCGCATTTGCTTGCGGATGTGCTCTGGTCGTATATTTGGCAATAACTCCCAGGTCGTCCAACAACTCTTTCACTTCCCCACACGTAAAATCCGACCCCCTGTCCATTGTAAACTCCACAATGAAAGGATACCGGAGGTAGTATTCCTTGATACATTCTGCCAAGACTGCCCCTGTCTTGGTTCGGATAGCCTTCCCATCGACAAATCCTGTAAGGTTATCCCGGGCATCAAAGATATAGTTGTAGCCTCCAAGTCCCAATGGCATCGCTAGGAGGTCCAGATGAATCACTGCCCCCACATCCTTGATATATCTCGGATGTAGGGGTTCCTTGCACCTGATTGGAGATCTGATTTGACAGGGAACGCACGATTCGCAGTACTTTCGGATCATTCCATACATGCCTTCCCAAAAGTACAGTTCGGTCACCTTCTTAATGGTAGTGGCGAAACTTCGGTGACCTCCTACGGGTCCATCATGAAGGGCTGCTATCATATCGATTTGCCGATTCCTGCCACAAACGACCCTCCTGGGAGGTCTCCTTTTATCCTTGATGAAAAGATGACCTCCTCTTACTATGTAATGATCCCTCATACGGAGAACTTTCTTACTAACATCTCTTTCGCGCTTATCCCCGAAGAGAAGAAGTCTCATTTCTAGGTGGAACCCATCATATTCCTCTTCTCGGAAATCTTCAGAGATCTCTCCTTGCTCAAACTCCTCTCCTTTCATCTCCTCATCAAATTCGAAATCATCCCCCAACACTATCTCGTTTGCCTTAACTATCTCTCCTTCATTCTCAGTCAGGACCTGCAAGAGTGAATTGACAAGATAATGCACTCTCGTCTGGAGTATGTATTGCTGTTATCGGCCTATCTGTCGGATACACTGGGAACTTGTCATAACCAGAATACAGATCTATGAGCGAGATAATGGACCTTCCAGCACAAGCTTATGAGAGTTGATCAGCGTTAGAGAGCCCTCCAGCATCCCTAACCGTTACAGCGTTCAATCTTTGCAAATCTTGCACCCACCTGAGTACTCCATTTGGCTTGATGAAGCAAAACTATGGTGAGGCATAAGGTCCACTAGAGAATCCTGCTACGTGAGAACCAATCTTCCCGTCAAGGTACTCTACCACCCTTCTTTGATCATCAGGATTTGGATACCTGACTCCTCTAACATTCCAAGTTTGATGTGAGACGGTATGAATCCGAACCATCCCTATCTTGTCCACATCTAGCCTTCCGCTCTTCTCATCATTGAAGGCATATGCGCTGTGTTTTTCCTTCATTAAGTCAACTACGAACGCCCTCTCTTGCTTGGTTAAGAACTCAGGTTCACCAATGATCAGATCTTTCCAAGTTTCCTCGTTGATACGACAGGATTATACTTCCCATTTCTCTCTCATTTGCCTAATCAATTCACATTCCTGCTCATAGTATACTCCCTCTTCATGTGTCACTAAGACTGGAACAGGGTGACTCTTTTTGTCTACCGTCTTGTACCTCCTCTTTCCCCCTTGCTTGAGCCCACCCCTAAAAAATGCTGGTTGCATGCTTGAGCATAGGGTCCTTGCGCTTTTTCTTCCCTAGGGGGTGACCTGTTCATCAGCTCCATCCTCCCCCCTTCAAGGAAATCATACAACTTATCAGCCAATGCTCGAATGGCCTTTGGTTCCGCCATATCGTACGCGGATACCATATACATGACTTGGTTGATGTTGAACAGACTCATAGCTAATCCTCCACTCTCTTCCTCATCCTCATCAAACCCCCACTCTAATTCTCTTCTTCTATTCTCAAATTCCTCGAAGGTATATGACCCAGCATTGAGTCGGTTCTTCGAGCTATGAGGGTCTGTATCTTACAGATAATGACCTCGAAATTACCATGAGCGGGATCACATAAAATTACGTACATGGTTCCGTCATGCTTCTCATGATAAGGGACTCTCTTCGCGACAAGAAGGACCTTCCCAATAATATAGGAAGATCTAAGGTAGGCATTATGTAAAAGCAGGATCGGACCCTGACGCTTCCTATTTCCACAACTACATTTGAGGCAATCCCTATGTAGCCTGATTTTCCACTAGCCCCATTGAAGTAACCTGAGTCCCTCCTATCGATCTCCAACTCTAGCATCTAAGCCGTTTCAAGATTCATAATATTAATCTCTACTCCTGTGTCCAACATCCCAGGGCATACTTTCCCTCTGATATTGACATCTATGGACCCTGTCCCCACAGATTTTCAATCTATCTTACTCCCTGCCACTGTCATGTTGGCTTCCTTGGGGATCAGGTCGCCCATCCTTACCGTCGCTACTCTCTTTCTTGCCAGTTTAACTTTTACCAGTTCCCTGAGCTCAGGTGCAGTTGCCAAAATCTCTTTTAAATTTAACAACTCATTATGTCCCTCAAGAAGCTTATTTACCAGATTCTCCAGATCAACTCCTTCTTCAATCAACGTCTGGTACTTCCATTTCTTCTTTGACTTTTCCCCAGCTTTTTCTTTTTCTTCCTTACCATCAATCTTCCGCTTTTAGCCTTTAGCTCAGCCTGTTTGTTCTCGTCCTCCTTAGGCAACTCATCACGTTCCTCCTCTTCTTCTTCCTCTATTTCAATAGAGGCTCCCCCTTGAGGTGGTACAGGAGCCTGCGCTGGTTCCTTGGGCGCGTTCCCTCCTTTAGGTCTTCGTGCAGTATGAGGAACAAAGTTCCTCAGTGCTTGGTAAGCAGCTTCCGAACCAGCCGCCAGAGTAACTCTTAATGCTCTGGGGTTAGGAGCTCTAGGCTCGTCATTTTCTCATTCTCGACTCATTGTGAATACGTGCGGCACCCTCATTTCCAAGTTCCTTATCTCTTCGCAGATGTCAGACATTTTCACATTTAACCTACCTATCTTATCTATCATGTCTTCCATTCTTCCCAGGGTTTCCCTTGATGACTCTCTAACTACAATATCTTCGTCTGGCTTAATTTCGACTAGTGGCATATTCTCTTCTTCCAGGCTAATCCTTGCTCCTTTCTTCAACTGGTCACTTAGTTCATCAACTTCCTCCACCCAGATAAAAGGGTCTTCCTTCTCCTGCCATATACGAAACATGGCAGGGGCGCTGGGTCCAAGTCCTGCGACTCTAATGAATTCTTTTCTCGTGCCCCCATGAATGTTTGGATCAATCTTATCTCCTCTCTTATCGAACACATCACCGTCGATACTTGATGTGATCAAGCCATCTTGCTCATCCATCCTCCTAACATGACATCTCCTTACTGTATGTCCTTTTATCGTACAATGCATACATACGCACTCGCTGTAGTCTATCCATCCTCTTTCGGCCCCTTGATCATTCTATTGTCCATCACTCCTTCCAAACCCTCTACCGTAATTCTGGTTATAGCATTAACCGTAACCTTGGTCATAACCTTGGTTGTAACCTTGTCCAATTTGATTAAAGTTTGACTGATTAAAATTTTCAGCATGATTTCCTCCTTGATTTCCCCAATTCCCACCTTGTCCACTGTTTCCTCTTTCTCTGAATCCTCTTCCTCCATTGTCATTTCCTCTTCCTCCATTTCTCTCTTTACCGTGTCCTTTACCGTGTCCCTGTCCTTGGAATTGACCTTGGCTACCTTGTGGTGGCAGAGCCTGTTGTGGCAATCCTCCGTTTGCTCCTTGCCCCTGGGATGGTCCCACCCCAGCTCCTTGAACCTGGGGTAAGTTTGGATTTATCCCAATTTATCCAAAACTCGGCCATTGATTCCCGGGGTAATATCCCGGCCATGCCTCCATAGGAGCCACCACTGGCCATGGTCCAAATGGAGGAGCCGGGGATGATGTTCCTGCGACATTTATTCCCCCAATCTGTTCTGAACTTTGTCCCTTTTCTGTCCCCTGTTTCTTTGGTGTGTGGTTCTGATTCTGCTTTTGGGCCTTCTTGCCTTGCGTTACCGTTTTAGCTTTCTCTTCCCCCTTACTTCCATCACTCTCCTCCTCATGTCTTCTCTTATTCGTCACCTGTTCAACTGCCATCACTTTTTTTGACTCCACTTTGTCCTTCAACTCCTTTAGTTGAGTGACCATACTACTCAACACTTCCCCTAAGGCTGAGTCAGCACCTTGGACGATTCCTATTTTCTTTCTTCTCTTCCTCTCCATTTTTACTTGATGGTGGAATACTTGATCCAGGTCTCCAGATGCCAAATTTTTATTTATGGTATCCCACGAAGTCGTTTTCCCTGGTGCTCCTCCCCGGGTCAACTCCATAGTCTCGTATCCTGAGAACTTTCCCAGAAAAATGACACACTGCATTTCTTTTGAAAGCCCCGGTACTCGTTTCGCCATTTTCTCAAAAGCTGTTGCAAACGCCCCTATCGTGGTGAAGTCATTTCGGTTGATGTTATAAATTTGGTCGATTGTCAACAACCCGTCTCCTAGCTTATATTTCCTTTGCATCTCCACTTTGAAATTATCCCAGTCCCCTCGGGCATCGACCACAATTTGTTCAACGTCGGGGCGATATTCCCACCACACATATTCAAATAACTGGGCGAACTTTTTCGCCGGCGTCAGTCGATTGAAGACCTGCTCTAGCAACTCAAGCCAGTGCGACACTCTCTCTCCTTGGAATGAATAGATTTCTATCCGAGGAAGTTGAGATCTCTTGACATTTCTGCTGTCCAGTAATCGTCCGATCCCGACTGCCGTTATGGGCTCTGCCCCGTTTGCGTCTCCCATTTTTCCGCTTGTTCTTAGTGAAATCTGTGTTACATAGACAAAAATGATGGCGCTTCAGATTAAATTTTTAGCCGTCTCACTTTTTTTCCCTTTTAAAATTTTTCCCCATTTTATCCCACATACCATTTAAGACTCCCTGCATCTACATTTCTAGTTCATGATCCCTTATCAACCGTCACTCACTGTCTTTCCTAACCAGTGTCCCTATCCTGCTTCTAAATGCCCAAGTCCGACTTTTTCTGTCAAAATTGATTCAGGTCACCTTCTTTATCAAACCATCCCTCCAACTTCTTCAACGGATACTCAGTCTCCCGTCCATGAATCATAACCATTCCAAACATAATGGGGATGCTATCAACATACGCCCTGATTTTTACTTCGGCCTTGAGCTGTTTTCAGTATGTTTGTCTTGGCTCCATGAAGTAAACGTGGACATAAGCGCTAACTATTGACAGAATTTCTTCAAAATCTCTATTAGCTAATTTTGGCCCCATTTCCAAATATAGGCAGTAGAGAGCTTCAGGCGTGAAAAATTTGCATCCCCCCTGAGCTGCCGCTCGAGCTGCTAGGGCTGCTTGCTCTACATTTATGTGCCCATTGAAGACTTCATCAATGATGAAGTCTGAAAGAGTGGCTATTATACAGTCCGAGGGATAAACGAAGTCGGCTGCCAATCTTGCTTCTATCATAGAAATTACAGGCCTGAATTCCCCCCAGCTCGTTTCTCGGATCTTTTCTTCGAGAATCGTTCTAGTAATTAGGACGTATCGTGATAAAGGTCGTCTGTGTCCTATTGCCAGATCTATCACGTGCATCCTCCATAGATGCGATGAAAGATACAATGTCGCCCGCACTATTATAGTTTCACGATCGATTGTGTGCCCCATCTCCACCCAAACAAACGCTTCTGTCCCGATTGAGGTACCCCACCATGAGGTGATCTCCTCCTCTCTCTCGCTCAGGCTTCTAGGCAGGGACATTCTCAACCCTTGCGGCGTGCGAACGGGAAGTTCCACCCCGAATTCCTGAATGGCATACGACATTTTTGGGATGATCGTTGGTGGCCTGAGTGATACAAAAATGAGGGACAGAAGACACACAACATTTATATGTAAGTCCTACTGACATATCCTCCCTCCATATTTTTCCTTTTTGCTGTCCTAAATGTTTCTACCCTAACCTTCTTATCATATCACATTCTTACCTCTTCACAGTACTTACCCCCTTTCTTCTTCACTGCTTCTACTTAGTTTCTTATTTTTCCCCTCTTTTCTTCTTATGCTCTTCTTACTTCCTTGTCACCTTCTTTTGTCATTTCTAGAATACAAATCCCCTTTCTGCTTCCTCCATCTCTTCTACCGTAACCCAATCCCCAGACCAGAAATTATAGACCAAGCCAAACATGGCGGGAATACCGTCCACGCAGACTCCCGAGCTTACTTCTTCTTTCAGCTTTTCCGAATACCCAAATCTTTCTTCCATATGGTATGTTCGGGCATATGCGTCGACAATGAATAGAATGTTGCTGAAATCATTCTCGGCTAATTCTTGCCCCATTTCCAGGTATAAGCAGTTAATCATATGAGGAGTGGAGAAGTCATATCCTTTATCAGGTACCCTTAGCACGGCTTCAGCGGTCAACTCCACCCTAGCTTGACCACTAAACATCTCATTGATAACGAAATCAGGGAGTGTGGTTCTAATGTAACGGATCGGCAAAATAATTTTTTTGACCGGAAGCATTCTGGCTTCCCTCCTAAACTCTCCTGCTTCTTGTAATCGACTCTCTCGGATCCAGATGTTGAGTGCGGCTTCTGCTATCACAGTAAGTTGTAGCAGATATCTTTCTTCCCCTTGATTGAGATGACCCTGCCATAGGCGAGTGGATAGGTAAATGACGACTCTCACCCTACTGCACTCTTCTATTGTATCCCAACTTTTTTCCACCCACATGAATGTTTCTGCCCCTAGCGTGTGGCCCCACCATGTGTTGCAAAGTTCAACCCTGCCTTTCCCTTTCGGCAGCGTCATTTCCAATCCTTCATTGTTTCTAACGGGTGCCTTGACTTTGGAAACCTGTTTTGCATAAGGTATCTTGATCAAATTCGGAAGACCTGTTACAAGAGCAAGCCAAGGGACAACTTATTCAATGTACTGCTTTAGTCACTAATTTTTGGGTGCCCTTACTATGGAATAGCCTGATTTAGAAATAAGTACTCTTTTTGCGTAGCTTTTCCTTGCATACCCCCTTTATTCCTTAGCTTCTCTTAACCTGACCTTAGTAAAGATCATGAGGATCCAAATTACCCTTCTCAATTTTACTCAGATGGATTCCCCTTACGTCTCTCTTTTAGTTAGTGATGTGAGAAATCCATGTCTTTACCTATCTTACTCCCCTTCCTTTGATGATCCCTTTATATATCAAGTACGAGACTATCCTGCAAATCCTCCGATGCGATATACAGGGTAACCCTTTTACCGCACGGTTCTTGCCCCTAACCTATCAGACTTAATTTGGACGAAGGCTTATTTGCCCACAGACATTCCCCAACAATACCCTGTCTCGGGCAGACGCCACCCTTTTCTACTCCACCTATAACACAATCCTGTCCATGTTTCTTTCATTTAGCTAACAGATTTTAGTCTATGAATTAACTAGTTTCCTTCTTATCTTATTTCGTCACCCTATCCAACCCTTTAGATCCTTATATAATCTTTTTATACAATAAGTAGGATACCAACCAGCAGATCTCTATCTGACATAATATAAACATCAAGAGTGATATACACATCCTCCTATCAGGAGGCGCAGACTGAGCAACGACAGGATGGTCAGTCACGCGAGGTGCTACTTGGGGTCCTTGTTGGTGAGGTTGGGGAAGGACAGCCAACTGTTGTTCTTGAGACAGCTGGTAAGGGCTATGATGCGGGCGACTAGGCGGCTCGAAGCGTGGCGGAGACTCTCTGTAACGCCTTGCGTACCTATACGAATAGTAAGTCATTTCCTCAGGGTTCGGGGTATGCATGCGCCTCTCCTCCCGGTACCTTCTTGCCCTCAATCTTTCCTCCTTCTCTTCTGACCCTTCATCATCTTCTCCCCAGTATTCTCATTTCTTAGTCAAATCTATAGGCCTTTCGGGTGCCTTCCCTTGTCTGCCGCCTCTTCCTCTACCAGTACCGGTCCCACGACCTTTAGGTACCATATTTGCTTAACTTTTACTATAAGTCGGGTAATCGTACCTAGGTATTAACTAACCTATACCCTACACACTGACTTGTTGACTACTTGTTACTAACAACGCGAGTTACCTTATTTCTGCTTTGACCCTTAGTCAATTTTGACCTCGGTAATTATCGTTTTGCCAGGATTTTGCTTTACCCGAGTTCGTTCTCTAAGGACCTCGGCTAGGAAGCGAGATCCCCGGCAACAGCGCCACCTGTTGCGCACGGCGGTCCCGCGCCCTGCTGGGGACGCTGAACCTCACGGTTGTGTCACGCAGGATTTATTTTCGTAGAACAACTTGTTACCACTGCAACCGTGCGCGCGTACTATACCTCTCCCGACGCCCTGCGACAGGTCGGGACGTCGCGGGGTACAACTTACCTCTACCCGAGGGGCTATCACCACCCTCAGGTAGGCGTATCCCTGCTGAGCTACCGGCCCACGTGCGAAGGCTTTTACATGCCTGAGTAGAGGTAGGTCGGCCGAGGGCGTTTGCTCGATCGCTGTAGCATGAAATGGGGTACGCGTGGTAAGATGCCTAGGACTGACCCGTTAGATACTCAGGTCGAACTTTGAGACGGTCGTCTTATTTCCGCTTTTTATTCTCAAAACACGTTCTCCTTCTAACCTCTACGATCAACGTATCAAAACCTTGTCACTATCAAAGATAATCTATTCCACTCAACGTATGACTGATCATCAGATAGCATATAAGACTCGATTATGAATAGCGAGGTATTACCGCTGGGAACCCTTCCCACTTTGACAAGTGTTGAGTGTCCAAACTCTTCACGATGTTAATTCCAGTCTTGCCCAAATCATGCACAAAACAGACCTGCACAACATAATGCAAAGACAGTTCACATGCCATGCATTAACGGCGTCAACCATCAATCACTGACATAGTCCCTCACTCCCCGAACCATGCATGAAAGCTCTATCTTTCCTGAGATGCAAGCCCAGCCCCCTCACATCTATTCAAAGGACCCTTGAGAGTGACCTGGACCATTTAGGCGATGACCACAGGTGACAGTTTTACTCTCCACAGGGTTTGTTTTTGGATGTAGGTATCAAGTCAAAGTGGAAAGAGTTGAATCGGCAACGATCGACCTGTTATCGAGTGATAACAGAAAATTGGGTCCTTTATGTAGGATTTTCTCCTTCAATTGCAGTAGACCAAAGCAAAAGACCTGCATACAAACAGGTCAACAAGGATTCAACATCCCCACTTGATCCCCCACATAATGATATCTAAGGTTCAAGCCTCTTAGTTCTGGTTTGTGAACTTTAGGATCAACATCCCAAAGTCTAACTCCTAGCTTCTACCTACCCTGAGTCGTCTGTCACTCCTCCTTCTTTTATTTCAAGGAGTCCCCTCGCCTGTATCCTGAGTTGTCTTTTAGGAAAACTTCACATTTTCTCCTCCTTTCAGTCCTTGCATTCTCTCTCTTGCGGATAAGCACACTCTTTTGTGCTTTACGAGGTAGTCCGGTTGAGATCAACTCAAACCAGTGGGGGTTTCTTCGATGAATTGTGGCTATACGGTATTTTTTTTCTAGTTCTTTTTTCCCGCGGTGTTCGCCCTTCTCTTACGTTCCTTTTAAGGAACCTTTGGAGTTGCTCCCGATGGAGCACTCCTTTTCCTTTCTCTTCTTGCTTGTTCTGACATACGCAAGTAGTGGGCTGATTCACCCGGGAATTTTTCATTACTTGATCAACTCCAAACAATCTGTTAGTCAGAAGTGTAGTCGAGCCGCCCCACGGTAGCACTCAGTCATCCCTCAAAGTTCACGCAATCCTCATGTGATCAAGCAGCTCATGCCATCTAGTGTAAGTGATCGGATAACTCACCCGGGAGTATCCCTTTACTGTCTAAACACAATCATTATTTCTTCACTAGTAAACCTCTAAATCAAACAAGTATTAGGATAACCCGGGTAAGTACCCTGCTACTTGTCTTGTTGGACTAATGGATTGACAACGTTCGATACTAATGGTCTAACTAAAGTTAACAAGTTTGTTTAATGATTAGTTAACTCGGACATTTATGGCAGGAAGATGTAGTGCATCCTCCCTATTGATAGGCAGGTTACATTGACAACCGTCATTTGATCCAGTACTTCCGTGAAGTACACTCCTTTAACTAACAAAGAACCAATTGATCCGGTACTTCGTGAAGTACACCCTTCAGCTTAACAGAAGTCATTTGATCCGGTACTTCCGTGAAGTACACTCTTTCAAACTTAACAAAAGTCATTTGATCGGTACTTCCGTGAAGTACAATCCTACGATCGTTAACAACAACCATTGAATTCTCCTATCACTTGATTTGACTAAGACTTAGGAAGGGAATCAAGTACTCCCGGGTGAGTACGTGATTTCCTAAGTTTAAGTCAATCTAGTAAGCTTCTGTGAAAGTTGACTGGTCCCCTACACATCGAACTGGTATTAGATGACTCCCGGGAGGGTTATCTTAATACTTTGTTTGATCTGGGGATCAACTAACAAGAAAAGGATGAGTTGATTATGTTTGGACAAGTAAAAGAGATACTCYCGGGTGAGTAACCCTGCTGCTTTCTCTGGTATGACTAATGGATTGRCATTACTTGGATACTAATGGCCTAGCTATTTAAYATTGGATCAGGTTACGAGGAGCTCCCATGGAGTTCTCCTCTCACTTGATTTGACTAGACTTAGGAAGGGAATTAAGTACTYYCGGGTGAGTGCACGAACTCTTAAGTCTAGGTCAATCTGGTCGACTTCCGTAAAAGTCGGCATACCTCTTGCTCGTTCGCGACGAGTGGGCAAAGTAGGGGAACAGTCAAGGCTATTCAACTTGGAGTTGTTTTGACTGATCTCCTACTCATCGAACTGGTAGTAGGGTAACTCCCGGGAGGGTTATCCTAATACTTGTTTGATTCAGAGGTTTACTAGTGAAGAAATGATGATTGTGTTTAGACAGTAAAGGGATACTCCCGGGTGAGTTATCCAATCACTTACACTAGATGCCATGAGCTGCTTGATTACATGAGGATTGCGTGAACTTTGAGGGATGACTGAGTGCTCCCGTGGGGCGGCTCGACTACACTTCTGACTAACAGATTGTTTGGAGTTGATCAAGTAATGGAAGATTCCCGGGTGAATCAGCCCACTACTTGAGTATGTCAGAACAAGCAAGAAGAGAAAAGAAAAGGAGTGCTCCATCGGGAGCAACTCCAAAGGTTCCTTAAAAGGAACGTAAGAGAAGGGCGAACACCGCGGGAAAAAGGAACTAGAAAAAAGATACCGTATAGCCACAATTCATCGAAGAAACCTCCACTGACTTGAGTTGATCTCGGCCGGACTACCGCGTAAAGCACAAAAGAGTGTGCTTATCCGCAAGAGAGAGAATGCAAGGACTGAAAGGAGGAGAAAATGTGAAGTTTTCCTAAAAGACAACTCAGGACACAGGCGAGGGGACTCCTTGAAATAAAAGAAGGAGGAGTGATAGACGACTCAGGGTAGGTAGAAGCTAGGGGTTAGATTTTGGGATATTGATCCCAAAGTTCACAAACCAGAACTAAGAGGCTTGAACCTTAGATATCATTACGTGGGGGATCAAGTGGGGATGTTGAATCCTTGTTGACCTGTTTGTGTGCCGGTCTTTTGCTTTGGTCTACTGCAATTGAAGGAGAAAATCCTACATAAAGGACCCAATTTTCTGTTATCATTCGATAACAGGTCGGTCGTTGCGGATTCAACTCTTTCCACTTTGACTTGATACCTACATCCAAAAACAAACCCTGTGGACATCGCCTAAATGGTCCAGGTCACTCTCAAGGGTCCTTTGAATAGATCTGAGGGGGCTGGGCTTGCATCTCAGGAAAGATAGAGCTGTCATGCATGGTTTGGGAAGTGAGGGACTATGTAAGTGGTTGACGGTTGACGCCGTTAATGCATGGCATGTGAACTGTCTTTGCATTATGCTGTGCAGGTCTGTTTTGTGCATGATTTGGGCGGGACTAGAATTGACATCGTGAAGAGTTCGGACACTCAACACTTGTGAAAGTGGGAAGGGTTCCCAACCGTAATACCTCGCTATTCATAATCAAGTCTTATATACTATCTGATGATCAGTCATACGTTGAGTGGAATAAATTATCTTTGAAAGTGACAAGGTTTTGATACGTTGATCGTAGAGGTTAGAAGGAGAAAGTGTTTTGAGAATAAAAAGCGGAAATAAGACGACCGTCTCAAAGTTC